TCTTCTACACAGTGCATGAACTTAATTTGAATTCAGCAGCGTGATTGGTGCAATAATATTCATCTCGAGAATGATTTAACCCTTAATGCTTCGGTCACGTTGCTTAGTTCAATTTGAATTAATTTCTCGTCGTCTAGTATGTACAAGGTCAAAGAGAAGAAAGAGAGACGTTTATAACCAATAGAAATGAATTATAAATAACTCTACAGAATATGGAAAGAGACAAATGAATGTCTCTCTTTGTTCTTATTTCATTCTATGTAAAATTTTCAATTTTTGTAATAATCTCTCATTCTATTTCTCGGTAATGAAGTTTTTTACTTCGAAACGTTGATATGAAATAAAATAAAAAGAAAAATTAAAAAAAGGAACTTCTGTTTCCTCCTATTAAATTTAAACAATAATGTTATAGGCTGTTGTAAAATCATTATTATTTTCAAAGCTATTTTCCATAAATACACAAAATTTTACATCTAAAAGTATTGAAAAATTTTAGGACTTAATAGAAGTCCCCTCCGAAAACTTTGGACGATAGACAGTTTAGAAGCCCCCAGGGGCTTCTAGACGAGGGGGGGTTAGTAGAAGCTTACTTATAGTTTTTTTTCATATGAATGAGGTAAACAAATACTATTGTCAAGTTAAATTTTTTTGGCTTCACTAAAGAAATTCTATCTTGAGGGTGCGCGTGTGGATGTTGATATTGTTGGAGTCAAGATGAAGATCCACACCCCGCCAGGAACAACCATAGAAATGTCAAAAACCGTGACAGACGTCTTAGGAATACTTCTCCCCCATCGCGTCACAAATCCTGACAGACGTTGTTGATATACGACCAAATATCATATTTCAATAACATCTTGTTATACTATATGAAATGTTTCCTTATTGCATTTCTGGAGGATTAACTAAAAGGATGTTGAAGAAACGTATCCCGAAATAGATATCATAAAATGATCTCTCTGTGATTAGTAAAAGCAAGTGTATCGTGTTTCATATATTAATTCCACAAAGATTGCACTAATAGCGTTTTTGTAATGTATATTGTTTTTATTTGATATCACACAATCTTATGGGAGAATATTGCATCGATTTGATAATTGATGACAATGTCGTTTTATGGACAGATTTAAGTGAAGTCGTCTTTCAAAACTACTAAACGTAAATGAAATTTTCGATTAACCAACTTGCTTAATTCGATATTCAATTTTCTAGTGAAGACAAGTTCGTCGCAAATAAAGACTTATGTTCACGTGATGGTTATAAATATTTTCTAGTGATGACTCAATAAGCTTTATAATTTTGTTTCTTAAAATAAATTTGTATTTACTTTAGACAGCTTTTTTATTTATTAATAAAATGTTCTGCGCCCTATATATATCCGCAGTTGTTATCACTCATAAAGTGACAAGTACGAAATTGATACTAATTTTAACTAGTGTGTATAAACAGAAATAAACACTTCCTTCGATATCATTCAAGGTGAAAACAACTATGAAATTATAGTGAAAAATTGATTGATTCATCTCGTATCGATTGAGCAAAAATCCGAGATTTACTATTAACATATATATTACGATCATTATCAAAAAACAACAGAAGTTAATAATCATACGTTCAGTGAAAGTTAATAATAATTCGACTTTTGTCACAATCTCTTACTTCTCAGATTATTTTTGTAGTTCAGACAAACAAATGATGTAATTGTCAATGAGTACGATAAAATAATTCATTATTCGTAGTTCTTTTTTTGCGTTTCTTTCTTTACTCTTTGTTTTATTACTCGATGAAGCTCGGGTTCATTGAGGACATATATTCTCGACTATTCCTTCATTATATAGAACGCAAGAGAAAAAAAAGAAAGAGGAATATATATATCCAAAGATTCTTTTTTCTTTCATTTCATTTGCACACGCGATCAAAGAAACATTACATTTACTCGTTCACTCTTACGAATATTATCATGTCGAATCAACCAACAAACCAAGGCCATTGGGAATCACATCAATATCAATCGAGTTCAAGTAAAATTGGTAATAATCCAGCAACAGTTACTGGTAACGAAGCATCGGCTGAAGGAACTTTTGATGTAAGTAAATTTTTCATAGTCTATGATAATTTCATTATACTTTGTTATTATTTATTTTTTTAGCATGGCAAACCAGTGGTAATTGATTCTCATGCAACTTCATTCACTAATCAAGGTCATCCAGATAGAATTGAATACAAAGATGAAAGTGGCAATCAACAACGAAGTATTAAATAAATGAAAAAAAAGACATTCCTTTAATCGAGCAGATCACGTTGTTCTGTTTTTTTTTCTTGTCATATTCATAGATATCTTAGTCTTTTAAATAAATAACACTTATTGCAGGTCAGGATTAAGTCGCTTCGAAAGAATAATTTTTAATCTCAATAAAATAAATAATTTGAAAGATTGTTCTATCAATCGAGTTTTTGATTCGAAATCATGATCATTAAGAGTACGTTTTAAGGTCTCTCTATCTTCAAAAAAGAAAAATTACCGATTGAGAACATATTTGTCGACTCTATAAACTATGAATTTGGTATCAATACTCATAAAACTTTATCACTAATAATAATTTTATTACGTGTCTGTTTTTTTTTCTTGACTTTTAAAATGTTGTGGAATTCACTGCATGACAAAGCTAATTGAATCTTGGCAAATGATATTCTTGTTAGATATTCAATATATTTCTATCAAGTTCGAATAAACATCAGTCTCTGGTCACGTTTCTGGACATGAATCCTCGATAAAAACGATATTGACGATCTATTTACATGGCGTCCTTCATGATTTTCAGAAAAAAAATTCTTTTTTTAACCAGTGCAAAAAAAAGGGGGTTGTAGATTCAACGGTGCTACTTAAGAATATCATAATGACAACTGATAAAACTTTTTTTATTTCTTAAAATAGTCCTAATCATTTTGTTAACTTCAGCGTTCTATGTTAGCATCTTGACAAGATATGTACTCATTGAACTTTAGTGAAACAGTTTACATATAAGTCAGAATTTCAAGTTTTCTGCGCATGTGAAAATTTCAAGCAGGAAAAATGTATGGTTTGGAAATAAAATTGTAATTCTGGCGCTAAAATCAATACCTTTCAGATACATAAGTTTTTGTTTTTATCTTCATTAGAGTTCTCATGAAGTCAGGCTTGTTTCAACATGAAATTTGAACGATAAGGTTCAGTTTTGAAGATCTATCGATTAACAGTCTCAAAAGTAGAGTAAAAAAAGGGTACAACTTGGTCAAAAATCAGGAATGCAGTGAAATTCGAGCTGTTTTCGTTAAAATTTACTGATATATATATATGTAACAGTTATATTTTATGTCCTATCAGAGATTGAAGCATAGCTTTAGAAATAGAAAAAGGTTTAGAACACGATAATAGAAGCTCCAGAATATGTTCATTTGTATAAGAATGTGATAACGTAACTTTTATATTAATATCACTTGAAAATTACATGAATCAAGTGTATTACATGTTAAGAATGAATAGTCATTTTTTTCTTAATGCCTTCTGTAAGTTTCATATGCGACAACTTTTTGAGAACTTGCTTGAAGTTTAATAGTCATCAGAATACTTTGATTACCATTCGTATTGTATCGAATTTTCTGTCTAAAACTCGAACTATATTGTGTTATCAATGCATGATACCACCAGATGCATCGTACTATGACATAGGCATCTAAGAGAAGCATAAAACAAAAGAAATGCGATACTCACTATCAAGGATTCGATACATTTGCATTAAACTGTTCATATCAACACATATCTACTTCGAATATCAGTAAAAGAATAGCTAACAGAAACATGTAATTAATATCGGAAGAAACTACTATGGATTTATCTTGATTGAAACTATTCTGTCATAGTTGATCTGAGCCAAGACAAAAGAACACATTAATGAAGCTGATTCACTGACATCAAACGAGAGCTACTACGATATTTTCATGTTTGAAATCTATTTTTTTTTCTTCTTTTTCAACTTGTTATAATCATATAAAAGATAGATATGGATCGTTTCGACACGAAAGTTTTATTAGCTGATAGATCCCATGAGATCTAAAACATTCGAGCCACGATCCGATCGAACTGTACTTTGATAATTTCAATGAAATTTTCTAATCAGAATTGGACAGCCATGCAGAAGATACGAGATTTTTTTTTTTCGGTCTTTTGTGTTCAGTGAATAGCGTATTCTAGACATTTCTCAGATCACTAGAATCCGTCGGGTCCAGGATCAACCCGATGGGCTCTTTTAACTGATAATATGTTCATTTTCGTGGCAAATCTTTAATAATATAATTCATAATATTTATTACTCTTTCGACTAAAGTGCTTTCAAATGAAAAAGAGCATATAACTTCCCAGAAGATTTATTATAGATATGCCAATATTTGATCATCTTCATTAAGTTCTTTCATGTTTCATATAATTTTTGTCTACTACTGACATTATTTTGCCAAGAGATACACCGATGTGACATACTATCACCAGTATGTGATATCATCCTTACGTTATTTCACTCTTACTTCATATTATCCTTGTCTGATGTTAGCCTTGTATCCTTACGTAATACTGTTCATAGTATTCAATACTTTTTCAATACCTTTGTAATCGTTGCACTATTCACTGTATATATGCTCATTATTCTCTTTTCACTCCGAGAGATTACCGCATCAAATAGATGCAAGGACAAATCATTGAGAAGAAGAGAGAAGAGAGGAGAACAGTCGAGAATATTCTTAGTGGATATTGCGCAGTGTGAAGGATAAAACACACTCGACGTTACACACCTTTTTGGATGGTATACATAGTTGGTGTAAAAGATAGATAGATGTAGGCATGTATAATGTGTATTAATATTGAGAGAGAAATAAGATCACGTACAACAAGTAACGGAATTGAGCTTGAAGAAATAATAAACACGGCAATCCCTTAAAATACATGATTCAACAGTGCGGTCATCAATCTTTCTGCATCATATCCTTCGCTTATTCTCAATTTTCCGTTAGAATTATCAATGGACAGAGTTAAAAAAAACATTACATTTGCAGTGGAAGTTCAATGTTGGTCAAATCTGGCAGTTCTGCTGTAGACTACATCAATATACATTAATCTAGTGAAAAGTATCCAACTTTTGTTATATTTCAGATTTTTGACCAAATTATACCGTCTTTTCTGTTTTTTTCTGAGACTGTCAATTCATAAAGCTTTAAAAACTAGTTTTGTATCATATGTTTGCCATTCTAGGACGTGTAATTTCATGCTGAAAAATAGGCAAATTCAAGAAAATTCAAAAGAAAAAGACTAACGTTTACCTATATTTCGAACTTTTGCTCCTATTCCATTTGCCTTCTTCTTGTTTTCAAGAGGGCTGAAATCCAATCGATTTAAGGAGAAAATGTAGTGAAAAAAGTTCGAACTTGAACATATTTTGAATTTTTCACCTTGTAGCATAAGTTCTTCTTTATTTTTCTAAGTTTCACTCGACAGAACTTGCAAAGTTACTTTTACGGTTGACATTTAATATTCAAACAAGCTTAACTTCTGCTTGAAATCGGACTTTTTGTTTCTAGTCTCAACTTGTTTCGGCTTAAAATTTTCACATATGTAGAAAGATTGAATTTCTGACTTACACCAAATTTCAATAAGTACTTGTCCTATGAGGATCTTAAATCATCGATATCATTTTTTCCTAATTTGATCAAATTAATCAAATCTAATCTATGTTGAAAAATCATCATATCTGTTCTCGTCCTATTCCACTGTTTTATACGAATTTTGTCTTCCGAAGGAGCAATTAAAAATTCTGGGAAAGTGAAACAGACCTTTGGAGAGGTGCCGGTCTCCACGCTAGATGAAATACTGTCATATTCTCTTCTCTGATAACATTTTGATGAAATTTAATATGTTCTACGACAATCGAATATTAAAATAATAAATCATTGGGGATACCAGTAAAAACTGTTTGGTTTGACAGTACTATTATCCGATCAAAGTTGTAAGAGTAAAGTGTGTAGTGTTCCTAGGATTTATCGTCGATGTTGATGTCGACGACTGCCGTGTTCCTGATGTCAATAGTTGCGGTG